TTTCCTTCCAGAAACCCTGTACTTGGAGATGAGCACTCAGGCTAAAATCAATCACCCTCGCTTAAGTGATCAGGTTTTATGAAGGAATTAGAGCTAGTGTTTTTACTTATTAGTTATTTCAGGTCTCAATTCTTTTAAAATGACTGTCATTAATTTACCCTTATATAAGTAAGAACTGTATGTGGCAATACTGATTTATTAGCACAAATATGGCTTTCAAATGTTCCTTTTTGGGATAATCTAAAACTAAATATAATCTGTTTTTAACTTTTTTATAGTAAGATTAGAAAGGTCTGTTATGAAGGTCTAGCAAATTAAATTTGTAAGACTTCCTCTCTCCTTTTCTGAGTTTGAAGCTTTCAAATGCCCAACAGGAAACTATCCGCAATAATTTGGTTTAAGGTCTTTTTTTCTCTGATGTTGGAAGTTGATTTATTTAGTGTGTGAAATAGTGTTGTGAGAATTGATTTGTGCTCAATGAGATGATGTATAAATCTCTATCAATGCGCCTTTTTTGTCAACAGGTACTCAATCGATACATGTCAACACCTCTTATTCCCACTCTCCCAACTCCCATCATTCCTGTTATACCCCCTCCATATACCATTGCCACGGGTAGCATACGTGACTGTGTCCGGCTGAGAGGCCTTCCTTACACTGCTGGCATTGATGACATCCTGGAATTTATGGGAGATGCCACAGCTGATATCAAGCCCCATGGAGTTCACATGGTCCTTAATCAACAGGTAATAGCGTTTGCATGGGAGGGCTAACTTTCCAGTTATTGAACAGGGTTAGAAGTCAGGGTAGCTTATCTGTTCTTGGCTGTGTTTTAGGTCTTCTACAACCTTGTGAAAATACCATATTTTTTTTGCCTGTCTTTTCGTTCCTTCCTTCTCGTTTCTTCTCCGCTTTTACATACACACTTGCTTTTCTGTCTCTATATGTATGTGTAAGACTGGGGAGGATGAAGCTTGTTCTTTTAGTGATAGCTTTATCCTGAGGCTGTCTTAAATAGTCCCTTGTGTTTCAGTCAAGTGCTGCAAACATGCGAGAGAAATGTCAGAAATGTCTCATGTTAGATGGCATATAGCTGTTCTGTCAGCTTCAGGGTTTCTGTTCAGGGGTAGCTGTGTTGTTTGAGTGATATTTGTGGTAAAATCAGATTTTCCTAACTTCTAACTTGATTAGAGACTTCTCAGGCTTTAAAGGGAGTTGATAATTAAAAATCGTGCTTTGGATATATTTTAATGACGTAATCATAGAGATCTTTTGTCCCTGTTGTCTTGTGTTAAAAATGAACTCTAAGGCACAGAAGTATTGAGGTATAAAAGAAAACAAATGAAAGAAATCTACTATATTTGTTTTGCTTTTTTGTTAAGAAAGTTTTTAATATTTTATAAATACAGCAATGTCTGTCAGGTTGCAGAAAATCAGACCTAGAAATCAATTTCTAATGTAGCTATGTAGACTTTACTAAAGCATATCTGGAGCTTATACTGTTGTACTGTTACCTAAAAAGTAGTTACAGAGAAGGCAAAGGCAGACTTTTCCTAGAGCTTCACAACAAAAGAATAAGAGACTGTTAATAAACTGCATCAAGGAAAATTCCAAGTGGGTGACAAGGAGAAAAAAAAAAAAAAATCACAATGAGAAATTAGTTAAGCACCCAAACAGGTTCCCAGAGATGCTGTGGAATCTCCACCTCTGGAGATGCTCGGATTTCAAGTGAAGGTGGCCACAAGTGGCCTGATGCAACTTGAAAATTAGCCCTGCTTTGAACAGTGTTTGGATTAGAGGCCTCCAAACTTTGTTTCCGTGCTGAATTATTCTCTCTGCAGAAGACGGAAGTAGTGTTGTGTTAACTGGGTGCTGGTTACATGAGTCTTGCCTTTCTGCTCCTTAAAATAATTGTTGAGTTACTAGTCATTGGTGCTAGATGGGGAAGAACAGTGCAGACGTTCAGCAGACGTGTTTTATCTTGGTACTTTCTGCGTTTCTTGTGCTCTGGGTGTTCTAACAACAGATTGACTTGTGATTATTTCCTCCCTCCCTTAGGGACGACCATCAGGTGATGCTTTTATCCAAATGAAATCTGCTGACAAAGCCTTTATGGTGGCTCAAAAATGTCACAAAAAAATGATGAAGGACCGTTATGTGGAAGTATTCCAGTGTTCAGGAGAGGAGATGAACTTTGTTTTAATGGGTGGCACTTTAAATCGTAGTGGCTTATCCCCACCGCCATGTAAGTTACCATGTAAGTCTCCAATTCTTCTGCTCTCTGCTGCTAAAGGCTGACATGTGGTAGGTGCTGAAGCTTTGTGGCCTTTCGCCTTTTGACTTGGGTTTTGCCATGATTAATAATCATCCATCTGTATATATGCTGAGATTGGAATTGTTCCCTTTGGGCAATAATGGGACTGATCAGAGGCATTTTTATTGTGTTTTCGGTGGTGAGTAGAGGGCAGCAAGGCCTTGCCAGTGAAATTGCTGCACACTTTGCTTTTTATGGGTGTACTGTTCTTCTGAGCTCTGCGGTAGACTTGCCTGTAGTGAAACCTACTTGGAATTAGAGGGATTTTTAAAAGGGGGAGAAATTCTGTATTCCAGCTGCCAATGAGTGCTCTTGCTATCTTGCCTTAGAGCATTGAGAAGGTACTCTATGGGCTTATTTTTGAAGGAAAACACCCACTGGTGTTTTCACCACTCTAACAGACCATAGAGTGGTGAAGTTGGATGGATTTTTATTTTTTTATTTTATTTAAGATTCCAGTGAACCTTATTGTGGAACTATAATGGAACTTTACCATTCTAATTAGTCTCACTACCAAATCACAAAGCAGATACTGATGTGTATTTGCAAAATAGTAAAAAGCTGCCAAACATAGCATATAAAAACAATTTGACTGCTCACCAAGCCAAGCTTAATGTTCCTATACGAATCGGGTATTTCTTCATCAAAATGTATCAGACTAGTATCTAGTGGGGTATTCTTTTTTCCATTTGTTGTATCCTAAAAATACTTTTTGAAGTTGCAGGAGGCTTACACATGAAGACTCACGGTCAGCAGTTGTGGATGCCCATGTCTAGCTAATAATATGGTACTTTTGTCCCACAGAGTACAACTTCTGTTAGAAAGAACAGAGGGTGTGTTGGTGTGCACGCCTGCTTTCTCTATGCACATGGCTTTATGCTTTCTTTCAATACCTCTGAAGTTCCCTACTTTCCATTTACATATGGACAAGGCTGCTCAGCTCTAGGAGTTGTGAACTCCTAGGAATTGCTCGTTTCAAATGCCCCAATTTTCATTCATGGTGATGTAGCAGGGGTCTCCAGGGGAGAGGCTAGAGAGCAGTCTTTGCACAAGCATTCATTAATCATGCTCAGACGGTATTAATCACATTGGGATGAATAATTCCTTTCCTATAGCAGAGATCTCTGTTCTGATTGTTTTTGTTGCTGTATCCTGATTTGTTTTTAGGTCTTTCTCCGCCAGCTTATGCTGCTTTCCAGACAGCGGCTGTGATCCCAGCAGAGGCAGCGCTTTACCAGCCCCAAGCCCTCTTGCCAACCACCAGGACACCCCAGGCCTCTGCGGCTGCCCCCCCAACTGTTACCTACTATCCAGCTCAGGCTGCTCAGCTTTATATGAATTACACAGCTTACTATCCCAGGTAACCCCTAGAATTAGCTGCTTCTCTTGACATTTCATCTCAGTGGAGCAGGCAACTGTGTGGTCACCTGTGAACAGCTCTGAAATTTGTACTTCTAGTGTAGATAATCCTGAGAACTTGGTGTTTATTAGTAGAGGCAGTAGCCATTTTAACTGATTCTCTGTGGCCTTGTAATGAAGTTCAGCTTTTCTGTAGGTTCTGTTTGAATCTCATGATAATGTTGGTCTAATATTTAACAGTGGTTTTGGCACTGGGGCAATGTCATCAAGGCGGTTCTATTTCTTGGGCAAACGAGAAGTTGTGTCAATACGTGCCTCTACCCTCATCCCTTAGTTTGTTCTTGTACTTAAAATACTGTTTCCATATGAAATACTCATCATAGGCGTGTACCAGGTTTGATTTCTTATATCAGTGAGACCCAAGAACACTTTACATATGTAAGCAAAGCAGAAGATCTCCACTTTTTCCCTTCCCACAGATGGTATCAACATGGCTCACTGAAGTCTGGTACTTGGGTCCATGGGGAAATAACTGGTTCATTGGTAGTTGCTAGCCATGTGACACTTACTAGCCTGAGTATCTGGTAAATTGCTAGACAGACCCTTACCAGAGATGCTACTTTACGCACTGATTTGTGGCTCAGAAGTACCAGATTTGGGCCCTTGCTTGCTTTTCATACTATGGTTCCTCTCTCCAGCCCTTTTTTACTTTATGGTTTTATTAACAATCTTAAAACAAGTTTGCAGATACTATTTTTCTCCTCCCCTGTGAAATAACAAATGTCACTCTCTGTCTTCAACTACAAATGTTAACTATTTTCCTTTCCCTCCCTTCTCTAAAAATAAATTGTCAGATGCTGAAGAGAAATGAAGAAAGTCCACAAAGCAGTCCACATTAGGGCTGCTTGGTTTTCTGTGGGTTTTGGGCTTATTCTCAAATTTAAATATTCAGTTTCATCTTTGCCTATTCTGAGTACTAAAATTAGTTTTTGGTTTTCGTAACAACTTTGCCTTTCTTTCTCTTTCAGTCCTCCAGTATCCCCTACCACAGTGGGGTATATTGCAGCTCCTCCGCCCCTGCCACTGCCACCCACACTCCGATTCTGCCCCAGCCTGGAGCATTAGTCCGTATGCAGGGCTTGCCATATAACACAGGAATGAAGGAGATACTCAGTTTCTTCCAGGGGTACCAGGTTAGTATGCAGTCCCTCTCCTTAACATTGTATTTGGACTTCTGAGTAATGATCAGAGGGGATCAAACTGAGCAAGTGAGTGCTTTTGGAAACTGCTGAAGGGGTGTGCAAGCTCGATGGTGTGTGTTTAACTGGCAGACCAAAGTGTAATATACCATAAGCATATTCCTGATTTGAAAGCAGTGATCTAGTGTCTAGGGTTAGGGTTTGAGTTTGGAGAGGGAGAAAGCGCAGAGCCTCAGTGTAAGTGGGACAGCAAAGGGGCTGCCAGAGGAAGGTGAAGGCTGCTAAAAGCTTTCAGTCCTGGCCACTTTTTGGTGGGAGCCCTAGGTAGGGTCAGTGTTTGACCTTCAAGACTTAAGTGTTTAAGTCTGCTGAGAGCAGACCTCTAGTACAAAAGGCTGTGACCTAGGTGTGGTGACTTGCTTGCAAAAGGAGAGAGACAGACACCTCCGTCAGATGCTCTTTCAAGGACTAATTATTTTGGTTACAGGCAGGAACATTTTCCATTAAAACTGCATTACATTACAACCTAAAGGAAAACTATATTTTCCAAAACATTTAATACTGATAGCAAACATTCTACATGCTATGGGTAACTTCAGTCAGTATGTGCTGCTTCAATGCTCTATCAGAGAGCAAACACATAGAAACTTCTTTTCTTGAGGAACGTTAGGAAAAAAAGAAAAAGCACTATGTACAAACATTTTTTTCCAGCAGCACTTATTTGAATTCGTGGAATGGGTCCTTCCATGTCTTCTGCCTTTCATCTCAGAGGATATTTTATCTATATCCATGTTTTGTCATCATATATTTGCTAAAAGGAAAAATAATTGAATATGGTATATTCTGGTGAGTATTTAACTTCTGTTGATAACAGCACTCACACAAATACCAAATCTGACCTTTTGGTACTACTCAGAAGCCCTGACTTAAAATCCTCTTGGCGGATCTCAAACTACTTTTCAAGTGATATGTGTGAAAAGAAGACAATTTTTGCGTGTTTGTCCTTCAAAATTCTTTAAGTTGGATAACAGTGGTATTGCTAAATGGTAAGATGCAGATGGATTCTTTTTCATGCATAGCAGCAGTTAATATGAAACATTCAGGCATGGTATGTTTTCCTTTTTTTTTTTTTTTTTTAACTTTAAGATTCTAAAAGGACAATAGACCTTTTATTTGCAGAGCCAGATGTCTGCTATGTAAATGAATGTAGACTGAGATCAGATGCTTAAACACATATTTTCCAAGTTTTGAGTATTTGGAAGATACTCTACCTGTTGTGGCTTCTTTTCAAATGTTACATTTATGTTTGAAAGTAGTTTTGCATACTTGGTTTCTCAGTGGAAAAATTTGAAGGTTAGCTTATAAGAAGTGTGATGAATTTTGACAAACATTAAGAAGAAACTAAATGTTATTGTATTCTTGGGTTTTTTCTTCAAGAGATATTTCCAGAGTTCAAACCAAATCCAATTATTTGTGGCTTTGATGATTTCCAGACAAACAGTAGTAATCATTCATCTGTTGCTTAGCCATTGATATTTTACCTTTTTTTTTTTTTTTCTCCTCAACTGATTGGGGTTTTTGGTGGATGGATGGTGGGTGTATTAAAACCTTAAGTGAGGAAGCCTATTTTCTAATTTGAAATTCAGCTAGAAGTGTAAGTGCACCACTGAAAAATGGGACCTGAACCTATCTGTGCATGGAACAGGCCAGTGACAATGTGTAGTAGCTCTGTCTTCCACTAAATCTTCAGTTTAGTGAATCTGGACTTTGGGTCTGGTGCTGAATTTGCCCTTTTCCTTGTTTCTGCATTTGGAGAGCAGTTCATAGTGTTTGTGTTGCACAATTAAATGTTTCAAATGAATAGAAATTTTGCCACAAGTTGAAAACTATATTCTTCTGCTGCAACCTCCTGTCATCATGAGTTACTGTTATTAAATTGGTCACCTCTTTGATTTCTTTAGAAGATGTTGTCCAAATGAGATCGGGTTCAGTATCTTATAAAGGAGCCAAGGAATTATTTTGAGTTGTTCTTGGAATCCCGCATGTGGTAATGCTAGTTTTATACTCACTCATTCCTTTAGGGGAAAAAAGAGGTGGTGACTTACTGTATTGGGACAATTCTATGTCTCTGGAGCAATAACTAATCTTTTTTTTTCTTTTTTTTCCCTCCCCTTTCCTCTGTCCTCATTATTTTTTTCCTTTTCTGCTGCTGCCCAAGGATTTATTGCACGATGCTTCTGCTCGTTTATAAAGTGAGCCCCTAATAATTGTCAGTGGTTTGGGCATGGGTTTAATCTCTGTATAACTAATTGTTGTTGGTATTCGATGGGCTTCAGTGTTGGTATTCTGGGAACCAGATCGGAGATGCTGAGATTGAAGGGTGATTTTTGTCTTTGTATGTCCTTGTCTGAAAGGAACAGGTTTTAAGTTAAGTTTTTGCTTCATTCTCTTCTGTTTTCTTCCTTCAGTCTTCATGGGCTCTGTATATTGCATGTGTGCACATGTTGCTACTTAAGTGAAAGCATCTTTCATACCAGACCTGCCTCTTAAGAGATAGATTTTGTTTATCATGGACTTCAACAAGCTGGTCTCAACATCAGTACATGCTTCTGATAATAAATAATGTAAAAATCTGCAGATCAGCATTTTAATTTTCATTTAAT